ATATATATATATATATATATATATATATATTATATATATATATATATATATATATATATATATATATATATATATATATATATATATATATATATATATATATATATATATATATATATATATATAAAAATATAAATATATATAATCATTCTTGTGCTGAATGGTTGCAGCCAGCTCCTGTAAGACGATCGCCAAATACTTTGCATGTAGAGTCGAATCGTAAAAGCCTTCATTATAGTTTCATAATGCTGTAGATTAATTGATCCAAAAATCGCGAATACATTTTCACGAGGTAGTGACAATTTACTATTCGAAACGAATCTACGAGATAAAAATACACGAGCCGAGGCGGACAGTTTGTAGCATGCATTCACCACCCTGGTTAATGAGGCATACATACAAAAAAAAATCAATTTGAGTTCGATTCATTGCATTTTGGTTAAATGCCGATGATAATATACAGCTGCACTCAATTCTATTTTTCTTATGTCGCCTGGCGTATCCACTGCCGTGACGCCGCTATAACCATGCGTGACACCTCTTCTTGACCACGTGCAATTAGTCACCCGCGCAGTAGGAATAAAACCCGCACACATACAGGCACACACACACACATTCACTGACATGTATACGCCATATTCTCGCATCCATACACATGCACGACCACATTACCCACAGATGCACTCACATGCACACCCATGCACACTCGTAGGCGCTGGTACAAAGCGCCGACTTCTCTCTGGGCCAAGCCAATGCACCGGACAAGTCCAACCCCATCAGTCTGCCGCAGATGATCGCATGGGGTGGTAACACGGCCCCTAGGCTGTACTATGGGGCTGCCAATCACATTGTACAGAGCATTCGCAGCGTGTTGGCGGATTGTCCAGGTGTGTGCGTGATCTGTGGCAGGGTCTACGGGTGTTAGATCGCTGACTATTATAAGGCATGTTCGTTCGGATGTAGGGTAGTTCGAGTTTAGGCTGTATGCCACAAGCACCTTGTGCTGTCACCCTTATACACGGGAAGAACTGACTACACGTATACGATATGCATGTATCAATACTTTTGTACATTCACGACCTGTCCAATTATGTATGACATGTAAATTCTGTATCATGATCGTAATTTGTGCTCTTGGATGTGCCTGCTTCGAAATTAAATTACTGTAGTTTGATTGCAACAATATCTAAAAGGAACATCTCCATCAAGCCCTATCCATTAGTGTGTATATCCATCTACCGCCGATATATATATATATATATATATATATCTATCTATCTATCTATCTATCTATCTATCTATCTATCTATCTATCTATCTATCTATCTATCTATCTATCTATCTATCTATCTATCTATCTATCTATCTATCTATCTATCTATCTATCTATCTATCTATCTATCTATCTATATCTATA